ACCAGCACGCCCTAAATAGAAAAGTATCGACGGTGGAACAAAGTTAGACATACTTCATGAAACAAAGGAACCACAAAAAAACATGGAACTCACCAATTCATCTGTCCAGAGTGTGGAAAACTCGAAAAACCCATCAGGCCGAGCTGGGTTTCCAGCAACCCAAGTGTGAAGAAGACGCAGCTTAAGGACCGGCGACTTATCTGTCCATGTGAGCTTCGAAAGCACAACATGCTTCCCTGTATCAGGCCCGGCGGGAACAATAGAGTCGGTAGCCATGGTTGGTTGGAGCGGCCGGGAAACGGCAAGGGCGGAGCAAGCGGATGGGACGATAGGCGAAAAGTGGTAATGGAGAGAAATTTGCTCGCTAGGAAAGTTCTTGCAAAGTGGAAAGCATGGAACGATTGAAAGAAGAGGCAAGAGGGAAAAGAGGTGACTGGAAAAGGAGGCAAGAGAAGAACAACGTGCTCAATTGAAGAAAGTAAGGGCAGCAGTAGGGATTCAACGCAAATCAGAACCAAAGGACAGCAGAAAACGTACGAATTAAGCGGTGGAGTGCGTACGGGATTTTGCGGTAAGGTGCTTATGTTAAAGGCGAACCTCTCCGCCAGTCCAGACAGGCATGGTCGCCGTCCAGCTCTCTCCACTTCCGTCCTTTTACCCGCGAAGTTCGCTCTCCCCGGCCCTGTGACTGTCCTGTAACCCCCATTCCCCAAATCTCGCCCGAATCGCTACCCCAAATGTGCACGTAAACCCCATTCCAACACTCAAAAAGTGAAAGCATAGTTTGGTGTACGGGGAAGCTAGGGAGAAACTCTCCTCCATCGTGGGGCAAGAAGAAGCGAAGCAAGAGGAAGAGGTTGGACACATGACGACAAAGCATGATACAGTAACCAAGGGTTTTAGATGAAAAGTGAACCCAACTTTTATATCTTAATAGAATTGTGTTTGAGGTATTGTTAGGGCTAAATTACACATTTGGTCACTTGAATTATACAAATCTTTCACGTTTGCCACCCGAATTATTTTTCTTTCTTATTCACCACTAACTTTATGAATCGTTTCACCATTAGTCACCGACCGTTACACTCCGTTAAATTTGTCCTACGTGGCAGTCAACTATAAGTTTGACCGTTAACTAGATGACGTGGAAATTAAAAATAATAATAAATAAATTTATTTGTCCAACTCATCATTCCATTCTTTGTGTATATGATTTATCATATTACTTATTTAAAAAAATAATTAAATTACAAAAATAAATAATATTATTAATTTATTCTCATATAGTTTTGGAGTTGGTGTACTCGAGGAGATCGGTGGTGGTGTGGCGGTGACCCTGGTCAAAGTAATCTCCGATCCAGTAATCTCCCCTCCAGCCACATCTTTGACCGCTCTCCCATCCAACGGTGGCTTGACGTCGGTCACTGCACTTGCCCAATCACCAATCTCCCTTTGCCCGACCACCCTTCCTTAATCCCCAACCACGCCCTCCGCAACTTGATTTCCAACTACACCCTCATCTCCTCCTCCCCCAAACTCCACCTCCACCACCCGCCGCCAGAAACCCTAATCTTCGATCGTCTAGATTTACCCACAACACTGTCTAGACCCTTCCTATTATGATATCCTAGAGATGCACTTCTAGGAGACCTTCCCTTAGCTGAAATTCGCCCATTTTACGGGCGAATCAAATCCTTGAAGCCTTTGTCACCGCCAATCGGGTACACGTCATCGAATTTTGGGCTGAAACAGGGGATGCAGTGGCCGGCTCTTATGCAGGCCCTAGCATTATGCCCGGTGAGCCGCCAACCTTCCGATTGACCGAAATCAGGCCACCCCAGCCCAACAACAAAAACGACAATTTAGTATTTACAGCAGGTCGGGTGGAAACTGGCGTATCTGGCAGAGACGATCGGCGTGGAATTCAAATTCCGAGGGTTTGTGGCCAACAACTTGTCATATCTGGAGCTAGAGATGTTGGATTTGTGCCCGATCGACGTGGAGGCAATGGCGTAGAACTCGGTGTTCGAGCTCCACCACCTCCTTGGCCGGAGCGCCGGGATGAACAAGGTGCTGTCGAAAATCGAGGTGATGAAGCCGACGATCGTGAGTTCGTGACGGTGGTGGAGCAGGAAGCGAATCGCAATGGACCGGTGTTTGTGGACAGGTTCATGGACGCGTTGCAGTACTACTCAAGCCTATTCAACTCGCTAGAAGGGTCATCGTGGTCGTCGCAACCGGCGAGTCAGAATGTGGTGATGTCGGAGATGACAATTAATTTATCATATTATTTATTTTTGTAATTTAATTAATTGTTATTAAATAAGTAATATGATAAATCATATGCGATTAGAATCATGAGCTGGACAAATAATATTTTTTTTTAATTGCCACATCATCTAGTTAACGGTCAAACTTTATAGTTGACTGCCACGTAGGACAAATTTAACTGAGTGTAACGGCTGGTGACTAACGGTGAAACAATTCATAAAGTTAGTAGCGAATAAGAAAGAAAAATAATTCGGGTGGCAAACGTGAAAATTTTGTATAATTCGAGTGACCAAACGTGTAATTTAGCCGTATTGTTAGCTTACTTTTTCTTTCTTATTCCTTGAGGGACCATCAAAATCATTCAATCTCCAAACAATGTATTTTTCAAATTCATACATTGAAACAATACATCTAATTATAATACATACATTGATTAAATACATCAATTTAGAGAATCACAACTTCCAAACATGCCCTAGGTTTCCATTTAAAAGAGTAAAGTACAAATTTACCCTTTTGTGCAACCTCTGTCCGAGCCGAGGGGAACGAATAAGGTCAGTAACTTTATGGCGAGTAACTATGAGTAACCCGCTCACATCAGCATGACATCAACATCCTCTCTCTCCTGGAAAGTCTTTAATTTTCCCCTTCTTAATCTTTGACGAACGATTTCTCACTCGTTTTAAGTCAAAATTTAATTTTTTTGTATAGTTAGATCAGATTAATTGTGCTCTTCAAAATGATATCCACTTTGATATATTTTTCGAACAAAAAAAATTCAGCCATTTTTTACTAGTCTATACCATATGATATTGACTAGTATTGAAATAAGAGCATACCTATGGTTTGAAAAGCGTACCATGGTGGTATGACACAAACTAAAACTGTAGGATGGTTGAATACATGATAGTAGAAGTATATTAATTGTCATTTACGACTTTTAACATTGTATACCATAAGATACCATAAGATATCACCCCGTACCAGGGTGGTATTGTATGGTATTGTGTGGTATTTTTTTGTCTTGTAATTTGTTCACCCAGAAATTTGTAGATCCAATAGATCATGATGAAGTCGTCCCTGCTGTGCAAACGTTTTCAAAAATGAATTAAAAACGAAGAAGATACCATATGGTATGCAGTTGGTACCGAGAGGCCAAAAATTTTTTTCCTCAAAAAATATTGAAAATTGATCTCATTTTGTAGAGCACGATGCACTCGTTCCATCTGTGAAAAAAAAATTAAAATATGATTTAAAACGAAAAAGATATGAGTCAATTAAGAAAGCTAGTGAAAATAAAAATGCTTTTAATTCTCCATCCTTAGATCTGAATTTTCTAAATGAAGGGTCCGGATTTGGTTATTGATGGGTGCATAACTCATGGTTATGCACCCTAACTTGAGCCCGAGCCGAGTATTCCAATTAGGGATGGCAATGGGTCGGGTTTTGCCAAACCCAAACCCATGGGTATATTCGTGAAAAAAACTCGGGGTAAAATCCATTGGGTTTGAAAAACTCAAACCCAACCCAACCCGCTGGGTAGCCGCGGGTTCATGTGTACCCACGGGTTTTTGTCGTAAAAATTTTACAATAACAAGTTCCTATCAAAATTAAAGTCAAATATAAATTTTTCAATACAAATTATCCATATATAAAACACCATTCTAGAAAACTCAAGCATATCACAAATTAACTATACAAATTGTTCAACACCAATCTAGAAAACTCAAGAAAATTGAAGCCAATCACAAATTATTCATAAATAACATGATTTATTGAAATTTTCTTCCTTTCAATTAAGTTTCTTCACTCTCCACTCGATAACATCAACTTCATTCTACACAATTAGAAAGAAAAAAATTAGACATGTCTCCACAAACATAAATAAGATTAGTTGTTTAGAATATTAAATATACCGAGAAAATTAATTATATGAGTATGGGCGGGTAACCATGGACCGGGTTTACCTAAACCCAAACCCAACCCGGTGAATAGTGAACGGGTTTAAACCCAAACCCGATCCAAAACCCGTCAACACGGATTTTACCCGCGTTGACCGAATTTGGTCGGGTGGGTACCCGTGAGTTCTGGTTTTGTTGACATCCCTAATCCCAATTCCTTCTTCCTCCGTTGATGTTCATCTTTTTGCAAACTGGCGGCACCCAGCAAAAGCTTGCCTGTCCGGTGCCCCTGTTAGTATCCCTAATTCCTTCTTCCCGTTGTTTATCTTCAACTAAAGTCCCCAATCAAATGAATGGATTCCTCAGTTGTCCGACATGGAAGAAACGAGGACCTAATTGTAGTGGATATATATGTTATGATGTAAATTGTAATTATGTTTAGTATAGGTAGTACATAGAACTTTGTTCTCTGCTATAAATACATATTTGTAATATGGATATTGTAACTTTTTACGTGTGAAATAAAATCAGTCTATCAGACTTCTCTGTTGAATGTTGATCAACATGGTATTAGAGCAAAACGGTGTCGTTTCTGGCTCTTGACTTTCTTTTCACCATTTCCGGCTTTCATTTATTGATTTTCATTCTCTCTCTTCGAGAAACTCTCAGAGAGGACGAACATCTCGTTCCTCTTTTCTATGTTTTTCTCGATTGTTCTCCACAATTTGTTCCGATTCAGTTGTTCTTTTTCCGCTCACTCCTCTGTTCCGATCGATTCGAGTCTCGTTGATCGTGTTTCTCCCGTTCTAGTTGATTTTGCGTTCTTGAGGAAAACCTAGATCTGACAATGGCTGCTTTCTCGACTATTTTGTCGACTTCAGAACCTACATCAGTCAGTTCATCGACTCCCTCAAGCTTATCGGCGCTTCCTCTTCCGGCGTCGCATCCTTATTTCATCTCGAATGAAGATCTCTCGTCTCTTCAACTCGTGACTGCACCACTCTCTGACGCAAATTACCATTCGTGGGCGCGTTCTCTAAGGATGGGATTGCAAGCTAGCAACAAACTCTCGCTGATCGATCCTCTCTGGACGGCCTGGGATCAGGCGAATGTTTTGGTCCTTGGTTGGCTTCAGCGCTCAGTCTCGCCTGAGATAGCGCAAAACGTCCTTTGGTTTGATACGGCCGTCGAGGCCTGGGAAGACCTCTGAGAAAGGTATTTTGACTGTAAATGACGAGATTTCCGTCTTGCAGACCTCTATGACGAGATTTCCTCTCTCTAAAAAGGTATTTTGACTGTAAATGTTTACTTCACAAAGTTTAGAAATCATTGGGAAGAACTGATGATCTTGAGGCAACAAACTCCGTGTGTCAGACCTCTATGACGAGATTTCCTCTCTCTAAAAAGGTATTTTGACTGTAAATGTTTACTTCACAAAGTTTAGAAATCATTGGGAAGAACTGATGATCTTGAGGCAATTTCCGTCTTGCACTTGCAATCCTCACCGTTCTTGCCCTACTGCTTCTGTGCCTCGTGAGTATATGCGTCATGATCAAGTGATCTATTGTCTCAAAGGCTTGAACGGGAGCTATAGCAATGTCCATTCTCAATTCTTGCTCATGGAGCCCCTGCCAAGTATCAACAAGGTTTTTTCCTGTCTGGTACAACAAGAGAGACAGTTTGGTCATCTCCATGCTCCTCCTGTTGCTCTAGCTACTCAAGGCCATGATCAAGGTTGTCAAACCGGTTTACGCCGGTGTGCCGGTTTTACAAGTAGAATGGTTCTACCGTGGTAGAACCAGTTTCGTGCCGGTTATACCGGTTTATGTCGATTTTACAAAAAATTCTGGATATGAATTAAATAAACCATCTCAATAAAATATTTCTAGAGTACATTCATAATCTAATTAGAAAACATCACCTAATATCATCTGTAAAATTGAAAACCAACACCAACCCCTCCTCTTTTGAAAACCAACATCAGCAAAGAGGGACGCCTAATTCATCATTCACCTAATTCACTTCAACCGCAAGAGATTATATACAAATTACGAACACCTAATTCACTTTCATTCACTTCATCAGTTCATCACCTACGCCTCTGACTACCAAGAGGGGAGAAGGCCAAGCTAATTAACCTCCAATCAATTACACCTCTGAACACGAAGGAAGAAGCTGGGCGAATCGATGGCTGGACGCTGGAGACAATCGAGGAAGAAGCTAGAGGCGAGTCGGTCGTCACCCAGAGGAAGACGCACCGAGAGGAAGTGGCGCCGAGAGAAATACACGCCGGGAGGAAGTGGCGCCGCTGGAGGATTTTGCTTCTGGGCTTTGGCGAATCAAGCCGTCGCAGGGAGGAAAACACGCAGGGAGGAAGAGGAGCCGGGATGAAGACGACTTGAGATTGGGAGCTTCGCTGGAGGAAGACGACCTGGGATTAGGAGCGTCTCCGGGAGGAAGAGGCGCGCGAGCATATCTGGTGGCGAGGCGAATTCGCAGGCTGCCTGTTGCATCAGGATGGGTCGATGGGATTGGGAGCTCGTCTGCTGAAAGTGAAACCCTATCGCAGCTTGCATTTTCCATTTTCACAAAACGACGTCGAGTTTGCTGAAGATGCCGGCATTTTCCATTCTGGTTTAACCACCGGCATTCCGGGATTTGACCGGTTTTGACCGGTATTGACCGGCATTGACTGCAGGGTCATGCCGGTGGTATTCCAGCCGGTTTCATGACCGGCACCGGTTGAACCAGGTTCAACCGGCCGGCATACCACTGGCATGACAACCATGGCCATGATACTCCTGCTTCCAGTCGCAACATACCACCCAGCCACGATGGATCCTCGCAAAATCAAGCTAATGCTGTTCAGGGCCATGGTGGAGGGAGAAAACGGCCACTTTGTACTCACTGTGGTCTTTACGGACACACTGTGGATCGATGTTACAAGTATTTGCTTTGAGTATTTTCAAGTATTGAGTTACTCGATGTCTGTGCAATATTTGATTCATGTTTGAGATTGCATGTTTATGGTTGATTATATATGCTTTGCTTGAGCTATGATTTCAAGTGAATATGTATGAGATTATTAGTTACTTTCAAATTTTATGTTTATGTGGTATTATTAAAGTTTAGGAAACAAGTCCTTTTTAAGAAGTACTTTACCTTTAAAGAAGGTGGAATCATTTTAAGTGTTTTTAGTAACTAGCGCCAGTCCGTTGCCATTTGGGATTTTTAGATAGAGCGACAGTGATGCTCTTGAGATCTTTGAGATAGAGCAGCAGTTATGCTTTTGAGATATTTAAGTTGATCAACAGTTCTGCTCTTGAGAATCGTGGTGAAGAGTCACCACGATAAGTTTAAGATGGTAGGGGGACGAATCGTTATGACTCCCCTAACTAAGTTTAAGTTTAAGAAAATCCGGAATGGCTTCTCATATGTATGAGTTGGGCAACCAGACTAGCTCGTGAGGGATCTCCGTGTCAGTCAAGTATTTAAGTCAAGATTTGAGCTTTAAGAAATGAGAGTAACTTCAACTCCCTCAAAGTTTAAGAGTTAAGTTTTAATGTGGAAGTACACACAACTTACACAAATTTAAGTATGTGTTTTAAGAAACGTGTTCAAGAAGTAGAAAGTTTAAATCGTAAGGGCGTAGATTGACCCCAACTCACTCACCAGTTTGAAGAGGAAGAGGCGGAGCAATTAGAGAGCAGCGAGATCGAGAGAAACAGTTCGAGGTAAGCCAGCTAGAGGAGAACGATACGAGCATCTTGGAGGATGTCCAGTTAGAGTTTCCTATGAGAAGCAGTACTAGGTGAGACTAGTTAGTTATTACGTTTTATGATTATTATGAATATAGACCGGAGATTAGTTTGAGATTTTAAAGTTTGAGTTTAATTTGCCCACGTGTTAGGGCATTGCTTTAAACTACAAGAGTGTGTTTTCGGTATCTTATTTATGAAATTTTTCCCGCTGCAGTTTAAGCTTTGAGTGTTTTAATTTTCAAGGGCAATTTGGTAAAAGTAGTGCTCGGCCGAGCTAGGGTGTTACAATGAGTAACATATATTTCATGCAATATGATTTTGATAGGTTTTTAGTTATTGAATTATTTCATGAAACCAATATTTGCTCTAATGAAAATTATTACATTGTTGCTAGACATGTCTGCGATATGAGAATAATTTGGGAAGTCTGTACACAACACATTGTCCAACTAACTATTAATGACATTTTAACATCATGTCCTATATATAACAAAATTCAAGCAACTTCAGATTCATTACCAACCATGTGGTAAAAAAATGCTCTCTATTGGGAAAAACTTAAAGGACATACTAAACTCTACGAGAGATATTTCTCTTATCCTAAAGGTTGATTATGTATGTATTATGAGAATCAACTCTAATATTCAACTATATGGTTTAATTAAATAATGAAAGCCAATTAGTTATATTTATTTCTTTTTCATTCAGTAATTATATGTAATGCTTATATAATTTTTTTCTGGCTTAATTGCAAGTTTGGTCACTCGAATTGCTATAAAATTTCACGTTTGCCACTCAAATTAATTTATTCCATTTATAGTCACTCAAATTAGTTGAACAGTTCAAGTTCGGTCACTCTCCGTTAACCTCCGTTAACTTTGACTGACGTGGCGGTCAACTCTGAAAGTTGACCGTTAAATGTGTGACGTGACAAATAAAAAATAATTAAAAAATAAAAATTAAATTTTTAGAAATTACACATCATTATAAAAAAAATTATAATTATAAAGAATGAAAAAAATAAATTATCACAAAAAAAGAAATTATCACATCGTCATGACCGTCGTCGTCCTCGAGTTCACCGCCGGTAAACTCAAAACCCCACTCAAACCCCCCTTTCCGCTAACACTCATCAGAAGTAATTACTCCGACGTTTTTTTTTTTCTCACTACAAATTTTTGAAAAACAGGGGCGACTCTGTGCAAAGGGCTGAACAGGGGATTGGGCACGATTTTGGCCGGTTCGTTAGCGTTTCTAATCGAGTTCATCGCCGAGGCAACAGGGCAAGTCGGCCGCGCCATCTTCATCGGCTGCGCGGTCTTCATTATTGGTATGGAGCTTTTCCATCTCAATCCTCTGTTTCTTTGTTATTAAGCTTGAAAGTAGATAAGCACAAAGTACTGAAAATTTTGAGTAGGCAAATAATCGAACGGTCGATAAACGAACTTTGCAACCGACTCTTATTATGAATAGCGCAATTGGTTGATTTTGTCGTTATTGAACATCCCGAAAAAAACAGGGGCGACGGCGACTTACCTGAGATTCTTGTCGTACGTGAAGAAGAACTACGACTACGGATTCGTCATCTTCCTCCTCACCTTCAATCTCATCACCATCTCCAGCTTCTGAGTCAGCAACGTCATGAGGATCGCCCACGAGCGGTTCGTCACGATCACGATCGGCTGCGGGATCTGCCTGTTCATGAGCTTGTTGGTCTTCCCAATTTGGTCGGGGCAGGATCTCCACAACTCCACCGTCAATAAGCTTCAAGGCCTCGCCAATTCCATTGAAGGATTCGCCAGCACTATGTCATGACGATGTGATCATTTCTTTTTTTGTGATAATTTATTTTTTTCATTTTTTATAATTATAATTTTTTTATAATGATGTGTAATTTCTAAAAATTTAATTTTTATTTTTTAATTATTTTTTATTTGCCACGTCACACATTTAACGGTCAACTATCAGAGTTGACCGCCACGTCAATCAAAGTTAACGGAGGTTAACGGAGAGTGACCGAACTTGAATTGTTCAACTAATTCGAGTGACTATATATGGAATAAATTAATTTGAGTGGCAAACGTGAAATTTTATAGCAATTCGAGTGACCAAACTTGCAATTAAGCCATTTTTTTCTCTTTCCATGGAGGTTTAAGCACATTATGCATAGTTGAATCACTTTCAAAAATTTTATGTGCATACCTAAGGTACAAAACAATCATTTCATACATTTTAAATCATCTATTATATAAATTATTATAAACCATATTTCTCGACAAAATTCTCCCAGCCAACGGGCCTGGTCCTGTGCTAGTTAATAAAGAAATAAAAGAACAAATCTCTCTTCACAATCTACTGTATCGCCAACCGGAAAAAGTTAATCTGCTAACTTGAAGATTCGTTAGCAGATACTAACTGATATCCAAAATACATGAACTAGTATCCAAGTACTAAAGTATCTAGAGAGCACAGACTAGTATTCAAAGTTTGCTAACTGATATCCATCATAAATCAACTATTATCCCAAATTCACAAACTAATATCTAGACAAAACAGAATAGTATCCATACAGCACATAATTAGTATCCAGAT